GGGTCGCCTTCCATGGAGGCCACCGCGTTGGACCACCATGTTTGTACAGTAGCCCAGAATGGACAAACCAAACACTGGCTCTCAGTAGGGCTGTTCATATATTTTGCGTCTCATGGCCACTGTAGCTTCTCCTTCACGCTTGGAAGAGAGGGAATTTGTAGTAATTGTTGCTAGATTTTTCTGCTTTGTTTGGGAAGTGTAAAATGGTGGTCCTATTAACTAAAGCACTTTGGAGGAAGGCTTAGATATAACTTAATGAGCCACTGCATTTTGTGTTTGGCATTCGCACAAACTTCAGCAGAGTCTTGAGATCAGAGTGAGTGCTCAACTTTAGTAGCAGATGTCTAAACGTTATATATATATTTTTTTTGGATTATATACAGCCTTTAAAACAGCAGGACAACTTATACAAATTGATTTGAGCATCTGTGTGGTGTAATCTGTCTTTATCTTGAGGATTTAACAAAAAAAGAAACAACGTATTTAACTTTTTAATTCCCTTCTGTCCAATAATATGACGACTGGAGTACATTTGACGGGTGAAATCTACAGCCAGTCACTGGTTTAACCTGGATTCATTTGCTCAGTCTGCATGTATTTCCTGAAAAGAGCAGGTGGTTCTAATATTTAGTATACTCAGTGGGAGTCCCCTGAGTTTCTGCTCTACCTCGGCTGGGAGCCACATGTGCGTCACTGGCGAGGCAGGCTTCCTAATAGAAATGAAAATCAAATTTAATTAAAAAACTCAACCCATCTTGTTCAGTGTAACTTCCCTTTGGTTTAATGGACTGTAACACCAAAGGTATATCTTGAATTTGTATTTTATTTTTTACAGCTGCAGCACTAAGTATGCAAAACAAACACAAAACAACTATTTGTAGTCTATTCTCCATATGAATATTTAATTCTTTGAAAATCAGATTAAAATGTAGTTTGCAGGTGGTGTCCACAACACACCGTGTGACTGTACTGATGACTGCTCCTCTTTCTTTGTCTAAAATCCCTTTTGTTTGCTGTAGTGGTGCTGATTGGAGATTCAGGTGTAGGGAAGAGTAACCTGCTGTCCCGCTTCACCCGGAATGAGTTCAACCTGGAGAGCAAGAGCACCATAGGGGTGGAGTTTGCCACGCGCAGTATCCAGGTAGAAGGCAAGACCGTCAAGGCTCAGATCTGGGACACAGCTGGACAGGAGCGATACCGTGCTATCACTTCTGCGTGAGTGCAATATACTGTAGTCCAGCACACACGCTGACACACACAAACACACACACACAGGTCCATATGCACTGGTTAAAACAAGCATATTGTTGATATAGATACATACTAGGCAAAGGAACTATAAAGTGCCTCTTTTGCTTCTTCGTGCATGAGCATTCTGCAGTTTTTTGTCAAAACTTACTCACAGTCACATGAAGTTTGGCTGCATCATGAAAGGCTTGGGTTGTAGTTTAAGGGTTATAAACATTGAGTCAGTGCCATGCTCCATCCATATATTGATTTAGAATAAATGAATTACTGCCTTATCATTACTAAGATACATAGAAAGAGATATTTAAAAGTGATTAAGGCTACAAAAAGTACCTTTTTGCCTTGAGGCAGGAAGTGTTTTGTTAATCACAGCTTCTTCCTCATTTCCTTAACTTCCTGTATGAACCTTTGTCACTGTTTTGAGTTCTACCTTGATACAGGAGCCAGCTCTAAGGCATTGGCATGTACTTTCTCATTGAGTTGGTCATGCTTTTTTAACTAAAAAAGTAACGTGAATAAATGTTCAGTTATATTATGAGCTTTGTCTGCAGGCAGATATGTTCAGGCTTTACTGTTTTATTTCTTGTCTCTCAGTTTCTACCATTGTTGTTGATGAGACGTCCTTGTTCTTCAGAGCTGGCCAAGCCCATGTGACACACCCACAAAGAATCCTGAAATCAACAGGCTGTGACAAGAAAAAGTTGCCTACTCCAATTAATATCCTATTCACCTCCTCTCATGTTGCGCAGGTACTACCGTGGAGCAGTTGGAGCTCTTCTGGTTTATGACATTGCCAAGCACCTGACATATGAAAATGCTGAGCGCTGGCTGAAGGAGCTGCAGGACCACGCTGACAGCAACATAGTCATCATGCTAGTGGGCAACAAAAGTGATCTACGCCACCTTAGGGCTGTGCCCACAGACGAGGCTAAGGCCTTTGCAGGTATTGTCACTGTGATGGCACTGTATGTGTGTGTGTTTGAACATATACAGTATCTAGCCGGTATAGGCCTGTGAGGCTCTAGGATTCTGTCTCATTAGATTATCGCCAGGTTAAAGCTTTGATAATGAGCAAAGATGGATCTCTAGCTGCTTTAATTAGGCCCCTTAAGTACTTTCTAACATATGTGTTTAGCAGACACTGGATTTAATCAATGCTTGTACAGTATAACAAGTTTCTTTTCAGTGTAGTTTGTACAGTTTATTTAAAACAGTCATTCCCACTAGGAACACCCATGTTAGAAATGTTTGCACTGTGATACTGTAAAGCATTTTACATGAATGTGTCCACCAAATATCATATGCCCTTGGCTTGAATGTGTTTAAGTACATGTAAGGAAGTACAGCAGTAGGTCAAAATAATTAATTCAACAATCAATCCAATTATTTCTGCCGTCTTTAAAGGCTTTGTGTCGGAGCAGGTGTATTTTATACAGTCAACCTTGCAGTTCATATAATTGTCAACCTTGTGTTAGAATGGTTGCACCTTGTGTTTACTCTTGACCTTGAGTTTGTTGGCCTGAGTCCTGAACAGTGTTGCACCTGCTTTGACTGGTAAATGACTCTTGATAGGACTGCGTCTAAGAAAGTCAAGTACACGACTACTGTTGATCCATATTAGTGTAAAGAATGAAGTTTTGTTGGCAGATAAATAACGTTCTTTTACTAGTTAGTGCTTTCTGTTGGTACTGATTTGTTTTTTTATATCACTGACCTTATTTATGATACCTGATTTACATAAAGGCCATGAGGTGGACACGTCCATGCAAAGTGTATTATAATGCTAAGTGTAGGGTTCTCTTCAAAGAACACAACAGAGGACCAGTTTGATGTCTCACTTACGCTACTGTGTGACTGAATTATATACCTCACCTATAATGGTAATGATTTTATACTACATTTTATTTTGAATCTCTTTTTATACTTGCAATTGGATTGTACTGTTTTTTCCGACCAATAGTCTAAAACTAAAAAACCTATTCAATTTACTATAATGTTAAGATTAAGAAAAGCAGCAAATTCATAATTCATAATAATTATCCCATTTAAAAAGCTGGAAAAGCATAAAGTGCTCTTCATTTTCACTTGAATATTGACTTAAACTATTTTAATCGACTACCAATCATTGCAGGAAGTAAAAGCACCAAATATTCACTGGTTACATCTTCACAAATGTGAAATGTCTCTTTGTTGGGTGTTTTTCTGTTGTTGGTCCAATTGAGTAAGCGTCAAACAGTTTTTGACTGTTTGATAGGAATTTGTTGTCGTCACAGATCAAATGATCAAACTAAATGTGGCTGAATTCCATTTAACTGCCTCACTTTCAGGGTCCTGGTATTTTTCTAGCTCACTGTCATGCTGTCATGACTTACTGGGACACATGAATTGATGAAGTCAGTTTTAATAGTAACATCTGGGCTTTTCCTACTATTACAAGTTAAAATATTTTCTCTAAAATGATTTTATTGAGTAAACAGTTAATTTATTATTTGAATATAATTCACAAGTTAATCATGCCTCAGTCTTTACAGTTAAATTAGTAGCATAACCTTTTAAAGTGGAGAATGTATGCCCCAGCAGACCATATTCTTTGCTTACAAAGATTTTCTTTATCAGAATGTAAACCATCATATTCGTTATTCTGTATTTGTGAGTAACATCATTGCATTTCATCAGATTGTGAGCCTACATTACTGAACAAACCAGTCAGCTGTCACACAACCCATTAAATTTTCTAGAATTACAAAGCAGATCACAGTGAGCAATCAAACAGGGTGCGTTTGAAATTACCACATTTCTGGGGAGACCCCTGGAGTGAGTCCATTATGCAAAGAAATCAATCCCAGTGCCAGTACAGTCCATATACCGTACAAATGTTAACTGAAAGTTTAAAATAATGTAGGCCTAAACATATTGTGGCATTATGTGTGTATGTGTTTTACAGAGAAGCATGGCTTGTCTTTCCTGGAGACATCAGCGTTAGACTCATCTAATGTGGAGCTGGCTTTCCAGACTATTCTCACAGGTGAGTTTCCCCATTTGTGTTTTTTTCTTGTCACTTTTTGTGTTTATATCAAATCAGAGAATGAAATTGCATTTTATCCTGAAAGGTACTAAAGTCTTAAGCTCACGAGCCGTCTAGTGATATGCTTTATATATATTACATATTGATTAGTCTGAAAATTATACATTTCCATCCAGACTTTAATGGTTTACATAACACCTATCATCTGCCACTAGATGGCAGCAAAATCCATCTTATGAGTTCTCCTTGCTCATCACTCATGTGCAGTCTGTGGCAAGAATACCACCTGAATGCGTTTTAAGGTCAAAAATATGGGTAATTGGCACACTAAAAGACCACTGAGCCAATCCACCACTTAGCCCATCAGCCAGCCCTGATGAGAGCCACTATCAAGATGGTCAGTCGCCAGCAAACCACTAGAAGTTTTTTTGTGTGTGTGTGGTCACAAATCCACTTCAACCATTGTAGCAGATCTGTTCAAGAAAGAAATACTGGTTCACCAATATGTTTCTCAAGTAAATATCTATGAGCAGTTTCCCCAGTAGGCATATAGCCACGTTAACAAGTGCATGTGATGTTGGAGATTTGTAACATGGAGAAAAAGCTATTGTTGTGACTGAGTCAACCCCTGGAGTGCCTAAAGGGACAATCCAACAGTGAGTGGTGCTTCCACTTCAATTGCTCCAGGGGCTATCATTCTGCAAGTATGTGCCACTTGCTGTTTGTATTCTGCTTCTGCTCCATGTTCAATTCCCAGACGCCTCTGCTTGAGCCGTTTGAGCCATTCTGCCCAAACCACAGCTTTATCAGTAATTTGTAATTCATAAAAACTTCAAACCAACAAGCCCCATTGAGCTAATGTTGCTAATTGGCTCATTAAGGGAGGAGAAGAGAGAAAGTTAGCAGTGCTTTCAAACGCCGGTAAGAACTGAGCTTCAGACCCAGTGGAGCAGAGAATACGTCATGTGTAGATATCAGCAGCAGACAAATCGTAGGTCAAAGAGTGTCATGCTGATGTATTACTGTCTATACAGTCGAAGCAGCTGGTGCTGTGTAGGGTCTGTACAATGAGTCATAGTTTCACCACCTGATGTGTCACGTCACAGTCAGTCAGGAGTCTTGTTTTGCTTTAGACCTTCTTGCTTCATAGGCAGTTTTTATTTCAGGGCTGTTTTGTTCCACATCTGGCTGTAGTTTAGAGTTAAAGCGGCAGTATGCAACATTAAGAGGGGTGTTTGCACTAGTCCTGCTCTCCTCCGTCAAGTTGATCCACTGACCATCCCAATGGCATTTAAGCCAAGGTTTAGGAAAATGGCATTCGGAAATGTATTGAAGTATTGAAGAGGCAAATGCTGATGACAAATAACTACAAAAAAAAATCCCCACTGACTACAATATGCAATACTGAAAAAAATGTAATGCATATTGTAGCATTGGGGAATGCCTAAAATGAGACTTGGTACTGCCACATGACATAACGATGCCAGTTTAGGATGGAAAGAATCCTTCACTGCTGCCAGGAGCCTGGATAGAACAGTTGTTGTTCAGTTTTGCCATGCTGTTTGTCCTTATCACAATATGCCCCACTGTTGGCTGGATTTATAGGCATCTACACATAACTCATTCCCTTTCACCCTTCTCTCCATCACAGCCATCTACAACATCGTGTCACAGAGGCAGATGTCAGGGCGAAGCGACTCAGACTTCTCACCAGCCTCCAACGTAGTGCCCATCACAGTTGAGCCCACCCAAAACTCAGCCAATAAGGGTGTCTGCTGCCAGAACAACTGAGACCTTACCACTGACCTCCTCCTTCACATCCAGGCAATTGGAGAAATAGCCCTCATAGACAGACACAGACAGGTGGACAGGCAAAATGGAGAGACGGGTAGAAATAACCATTTCACATAAGGACACTTGTTCAGGGGTTGATTCGTCTATTGTCTGGTTAAGAAAACGTAATGCAGTATAAAGAGGGGGACCAGTGAAGGATGGATAGGAAAGAGGTTTAGATAAACAGACAGGGGGGTGTCGTGAGGGAGGATTAGTATCAATGGAAAAGAAAACAGGTGAGATGCACCGTACCCAGTGCATTAAGCTATGAAAGAGGTACATCATCTGAACTGATTCACAATCTAATGAAAAATGTAACACATCCCTTTTGTATCTCATCATGATTTCTGTCTTTGCACACTGTCTCCTTTTGAAAGCTCTTTTTTACAAGCCAGTAAATGCTTTCCCTCAGTTTCCCACCACCAGGATATTGGGCAATAAAAATCCACATTTAAAAGACTGAACTGTCACCCCTCTGTCACCACTGTCATTCCCATTTTCCATAAATGTATAATATTTAGAAAATAATGTCCCTTACAATATTTATTGAACACTAGATTAAGTTTTTGTTTGTCCAAAGGGTTTGCAATTTAACGCTAGTTGGTTTAGATTTTCCACACTGATCGCTTCACAGCAAAGGGAGCTTGCTTTTTGATGCTTTTGTTTTTTCCCCACAATCATATCTCTATGTGAAGAAGCTTGTAAGGGCACCTACCCCCCACAAATGGAGGAGCAAGGGCTTCAAGTCATTTTTCTAAATCCACATGCTGGAATTTGGTCTAAGTTGGTTGGTTCAAGTTGTGTTCCACTAGGCCACTCAGAGCAATAACATCCCTCCCTAACAGTGACATGTAATTTCTTTTTGATTGCTTTTGATCTTTGTTTGTAAGGCTTTCCTGCTCTGTGCACACTTGGTACTCTACAGATGAGTCATGCTCTTGCAAGCTTTGCACAGCATTAACTCTAAATGAGATGGGATCGCTGCATCACTAGTGAATGGGTTAACAGCCTCACATGTCAGTGGGATAGAAGTATTGCTTATGACTGTTTCACCCCTGCCCTGAACCTTTGGGTGTAGTGGGAGAGGTTAGGGAATTGGTGTAAATGCATGGACAACCCTGTGCTGCTGCTGCCTGCTAGCTGGGATAGATAGATGGATGGATGGATAATGTTTCAGGGGATGAGGTAGTGAGGGCACTCAGCCCTGCCCTGCTCCTGTGGTCTCTGATGTACCCGAGATGGCTTGTTTTACTGTAAGTGAAATCCTCCACTGCCTGCTCACCTACTCCTTTCTGTCTCTCTCTACACTGTATGTAACTGGAACAGGACTCTGCCTTCTGGGATCTCCCTGAGGTCTGCCCTCGCTCTCACTTGTCTTTATTTCCTGTGGACGGGGCGGGGGTTGTATTCGGGAGCCAGGGTTGGGTTTGTTAGTATCTAATAGTTTAATAGATGAGGAAAAGGAGAAAGGATGGTAGTGTTAGGAGGGGCTTAATTAAATCCAAAGGTTATGCACACAGATGGTGTTTATCCTGGTGATGTGTTTCCACATCAACACTGACTGTTGACTTCACAGGTCTTAAATTGGGTGGTGTAGGTTAGGGCTTTTTAACATTTATTCTAATATATGTATATTTGGACTGCATATGTATAAATAAATCTCATTTGTTATAGCCTGCCTCTTCTCATGTCTCTTTCACAATGGCGGTAAGTAGCTGACTTCTTCTTCATTGGTGAATCTGGTTGAAAGCGTGATCATAGAATACTGATATTGCTGCATTATATTATTTAATTCTGAATGTCTACCAACTTAACACAAGATATTAGCCGTTCCTTTGATCCTTGGTATTCAAATATGAATAGTCATCATCATCAAATTATCAATTAAGGCATAAAAACTCCCCCAAACAAAAAAAGACAACTGTTTTCAATTGGAGATCATTTCATTTTTGTTTTATTAGAAACATTTACAATACATCTTGAATCTTGGAAAAATAACAAAGAACCAGAACTAACATGGCGCAGATACAATAATAATAATAAAAATGTCTCCAAAAAATGTAATTCACAAAAAAACATGTGCTATAACAAATAAACCTGCAATATCACATGCCTTGTAAGGGCATGGCATACTGTAACAGAGTTCAAAGACTTCTTTTTTTTCTTTTTTTTTTTTTCCATCCATCAAAGTTGACGGTCAGCCACAGAGAGCCACATTGGTAACCCTCTTTCACTGTTCACAGAGAAACCAGAAACTAACGCCAGGTGATGCTGGCCCAAAAACTAATGCACTACGACCACTATTAGACCGGTATGAAACACCTCTACTGTGCTGGAAAAATTGGAAACGCTACCAAAGACAAACTGTCAGACTGTATTGGCCTCTTTGGAAAAGGTTGCGAGTTTCACCAGCGAGTGCCACTTCAGACCCCGTCCTTTACATGCAGCAGAAAATGTGCCATTGTAGTGTTTTCGTCAAGTTTTTTTTTTTTAATCCGTATCAACTCTTACACAAACGAAGAACTTCAAGTTAATCAATATGAGGTGCAAACAGTCTTTCATCACTAACAGGTAACTGAGAATACAAAATCCGACTTTGATGTGGGGACTGAAATGGTCTCTTTGCCTGGCTCCAAACTCATGTCAACTTTCCAGTTTCCAAAGAGACTCCAACTATGAAAATCTACAGAGGAGAAACAGCCCAGGTGCACTGATGTCAAAGGACAACACAGGACCTGCACCATTTCTCCTGTCTAAGTGACCATACAACATACATGCAAACTAGTACGGTAATGAATCTGTTGTGTGTATATGTGTGCATCTAGTTACATAGATCTACTACACAGTGCGCTGTTGTCCTCTCCGAGATGCCTCCGCTCAATTTGCACACTTCACCTAATTAACACATTAGGGAAAGTCTCTCATGAAGGCTGTCTTTAAGCTGATTATGCTCCGTCGCTAGTGATCACAAACTGTCTGAGTAGTAGATGTAGAAAATGTATGAATGAAAGTGTGTACAAGTTATGTGTGGCCCTTTTGGCGAGAGGGTCACAGCTGCCTCATTCATTCCAAGCGTTGCAGTCGTAACATGTTTTATACGTTTTGATAAGTAAAAGCGAGTTTAGATTACAGAGGAAATGAGTTATGTGTTTCAGTCAGTAACATGGGGTTAGTTGAAGGGGAGAAAGGGGTTACAGCAAGCAGCACTGCACAAAGAATGCTGATGCAGGAAAAATATATAATTGAGGCACAAAATTGATGCTCTGTGACTAAAATATCTCCAAATTCTAAAAAATATTATATTATTTTCTGTAATTATTCCATTGTGAATGCACCGATGTTGAAGTAGTGCATGTCTGAAGTTAAAATTTAAGCTATGGGGAACTCTCGTTCCATTTACTTCATTTACCATGAAGTACGTGGAAAAGACGAGCGTCCATAACTTTCATAAATAAAACTTCTAAACTTCTTTTCTCATTTTACTTATTAGTAGAAACTGACTTCCCTGTGTTTAGAAATATATTAACTTCTTGTAATTTTAATTAAAAAACAAAATGTCTTGAGGTTACTCATAAATATGTTGCTTCATTTTTTTTTTTTACTTTTCATAAATAACATCCAGATACTGACTTCTTTTTTTTCCTCTGCTTTCTATGAAATAATAACCCATGTTAGCAAAATAGATTTGAGAAATTGTAATATGTTTTTTTTTATTCATTTTAAGTTACTTTCTATAAATGTATGTGGAAGAACTCAAATATAGTCTACGTTGAAAACCTGTCGCAAATCCTTTCCAAAAAACAAACAAAAACTTAAAGCTCACTTGTAAATTGACAAAACAATAAGCAAAAGGAGTGCATTGAGTTGAGTGGTCTTTTTTTTTTCTTTTTTTTTTTTACATTCAAATGCATTACTTGCTCAATGTGTGATTTAGACAGGTTGGTACAATTGCTTAAGTGCATCCATTGAAAATAAGGATTTCCTATCACTCCTTAAAAGGGATTCTACATAAATGCATAAAGACCTTTTCATATCAAGAGAAGAAAAACATCAACAGTTTCTACCATTACTATAATAGTAAGCTTAATACAATATTGTAAATAATACTAACAAGAACTTAATGAATCAAATGTCACTGAGTCACCCCACCCCTTTGTTGCACCACTGAATTAAAAAGTATTTCATACTGGGTGAGTTGGACAAATGAAACTTACACCTTAGCATATTCTTAAGAATCATAATTAAACTTTATGTATCAATTAGTTAAACTACACGGTAAATATATGATTTTAAACCGATGTTCACTTTAAAGTCTTAAAGCTTTTTATACACTTTAGGTATCAGGCTGATGAATTCATTATGCGATCTTAACTTTTTTCTGATAAATCTTACCTACTTTACTAACATGCAGTTAAACTTAAGGATACAGTTAATGGCTCTCTAAACGATATTAACTAAAAACAGTGTTTTGTTGTTCACTATTACACTGTCACCTTGTTTACACCTAAACGTAATCCATTACAGTTTACTACTCTGAGGGTCTTAAAAAATTAGGAATTCAGCCTGAATTTTCACTGACTTGTCATTGTCCACACAATTCCTTGTCTGTCTATTTTTTTTTTTTTATTACTTGGGCAGTCCCGTTTTATCTCAACTTCTTAACATCGGTCAATTTACAGAAAGATTAAGACATTCCCTGGACTGTTTTTCTCCCAACAACCTAACCAGGACAATAGAAAACTACTCAAAGGACTGTGTAAGTGCCAGGATGTGCTTTAAGCTGATCTCTTTGGGGAGAAGTAAGTCTGTTACCGGCGCCTCTGTAGTATTAAACTAATCTTACAACACTGAAACATGATATGCCTTCATTTCACAGATATCGATTGAGTGGCCTCTAAGACTTTTGGGTAAACAGAGTAATTCTAGCTATGAGATTATTTCTTAATAATCCTGATTCAATAAACTCTAAACCAAGCTGATTTTGATGCTAAAATAAGTTAACTCAAGTGATAAGTTAGTTCATGTTCTCTTCTTGTATTTTGTTCTTTGGCTATGTCTGACCTTTTTCTTTCAAAAACAATAAGAGATGAAAAAGTAGGTGCACGTATCAAATAGAGCCATGAAATCAGAAACTTATTATTACTATGTAAACAGAAATCATCTTAAGATATGCTACAAGTAACACGTCTGCCCCTGTATGTAATTTAACAAAGAATAACGAGTGTAAAGAATCAAAGATTGACAACATGACTGCAGAAAGAGAGTGACTGGTACAGTACATCATATCATGTTGTCCTACCCTCTCCTTCTCACTGCTGTGTGTACGTTCTAGACCAAAGCCTTCGAGACATCAGTCTGTCATAGTAAAGTCACCAGCTCCTGCTTTTTAACAAGCAGGACAGACTCCAGTGCTTATGCTCTGGTCTTGCTGTTTGTTTACACTTCAGGGATCACTTTTACAGCGCAATGAGATTTCCTCTTAAGTCACAGAAATTGCAGTTTCATCTTTTCAGTGCTACTCAGGAGAAGGAATCCTTAAGTTTGTCTTGACCCACCCTGTGATCTGATTGATATTCAAAAGTAAAAAAATAAAATAACAATAAAAAAATTAAATGACTAAGACCCTGATGAACACAACAAGAACAATTACTTATCCTGAAACGGTTACTAATTAATTATATCTCTGTTTCAACTGGCATGAATCCATAATGAATTTTAAGCAGATATGAGAGAAAAATGCAACGGTATTATCCTAATAGTGAAGGTCAATTTCTGAATAGAATATTATTTAAAGAACTGACTAAGCAGGCTCCTTTGTTTATTGTCCCAGTATAGTCATATTATTGCTTTTCATCCTAATATACATAGAAACTGATTTATTCATTTGGGCTTAGGTTATTACACATACTATTCATTTGAGTTTTTATTTGAGATTGGATTTATACATCAGCGGCTTTATAAAGGATATTCATTATTACAGCTTATAGTAGTGTCTGGTTAATTTCTTATCTATATATTTGGATGAAATACTAAGTTAATCAGTTTAAATAATATTTCTTAAATGTATGGATCTATCTAATATACTATTATAGTCAAAAGGATGATGGGGCGCATATATAAAAGATTTACTCTCCCTAAAACTCAGAAACATTTTGAATTCCATATGCTAAAACATTGACAATGACACCTTCAGTTTGTAAAAATAATCAAAACCTCACTTCAAGCGGGGCCTTTGTCTGGATGTTCATAACCGATACACATACTGTATTTACATAGATGCTCAGAGTGCTTTCCAATAAAGTACAATACTCATTAACTTATACAGCGTCTAAATAGGGAGATTCTCAAATAAGCCCTCTCTTCATTAAACCAGTGCAAAACTCAACCAAGTCATCAGCATTGACTAAATGGATGAGAGGTCTCCCAAATTACAACTAGTACTACTTTAGTATTAAGAACAAGAACCACCATAATACAAAAAAATGATAGGGAATCCTTATGTGCATGTCTTTCAAATTCTATGAAATGTATTTCACCATCAGCGGTCGGTTTGGTATTAATCAAATGCGCATGTTTTGTAATAAGGTGCTCTACTTTATATTTTAAGAAAAGTGTTTAAGAGCCTAATTTCCTGAATCCCTCTAATCCCCACCCAAGCAGTTTGATTCACATT